TAAGTAAGAGTTACATACCGAGAACGGAGGCAATCAGCCTAATACATCCCGAGGGCCGTAGGCCCGAGGGATGTATAGGCTGATTGCCGACGTTCGAGGTATGTAACTGGCTTATTTCATACTTGAAGAAGTTTTCCAAGCACTGCATTAATATTTTCATTTTTAAATAGGCAAAGAAGCCGTTTTCATATGAATTAAAAACCAAACCCTCGATGAGAAAGATTACGAAATTTACAGTATTGAAAATTCCCAACGGGAATAATTTGCATAACCAATTTTCTCGTTAGTCCCATGAGACCAATGCTAACTATACACCTTTTGTAACAAGTCACTGGACAATGTTAAATAACTGTTTTATTCCATAACTGACATCGATTAGTCAGTTAGCATAACGTGTTAAGTATAGGAGTTTCAAAGCTAAGGTTGTGGGTTCGAATCTACTTGGTGTCATTTGAATTTTTCTTTCTTTCTTTCAAGTTTAAAGTTTCAGACGGAAAATTTCTAAGTTGAACGTAGTAGTTAATTAGGTATTCAAGGGCAATATACATTAGTATTATATATTGCCCTCAAATGGTGGCGATATCTAGATATACAGCCTTTTGCAAAAATTATGAGAATTGTCTAAATATCTAAATATCATAATATCCATATTATCCATATATTGTCCGGAACACGAGGGTTTGCTAGAATAATTCATTGTTGACATCGAGAAAATGTTCAGAACTACGGATAAGTGTAGCGGAATCAGCTAGACATATAGAGGTTCCGTGAAACCATAAAAAACTTGACGCTCACAAACTTCACGGAGTCATCTTTAATAGAGTAAAAACTGGTACTAACTCGTCAAATTACTGTGAGCGTATGGACTCACATTACAAGATCGAATAACATATAAAGGATGACATAAAACACGTGATTACTAAAACAAACAGATGGTTAAAGATTACCAGGCACGTATGCCGTTACACTGCTTCCCTAAATTTGTAGGCAAATTTAAAGAAAAAATCACTAAAGCTATGAATCATAGTTATAAAACTGGAACCAACTAATCATAAATGTTTCTAAAAATTATTTGTGATACAAGTGTAAAAGTGCTTCATATAAAGCTTATGGGTTGTTCAATGTTCTATCGGTCTTCAGCTGCAATGAGCAGTACAAGCTTGTGGATTGGTCTGTCATACGTCTTCTTCAGGCCATCTTTCACAGTGGTGACTTGCACCTTTCGCACTAGCTGGTCTTTGCTTGGATAGGTCTTTGATACCAAGGCTAAAGGCCAGCGGTTTCTTGGTTGGTCTTTGTCGCTCATCAGAACGACGTCCCCTTCCTTCACGTTCCGTTTGGTGCTCGTCCACCTTTGACGTTTCTGTAATAGGGCGCAGTATTCCTTTTGCCATCTTAACCAGAATTGGTTTGCTAGGTATTGAACTCTACGCCACCTTTTCCTGGAGTATAAATCAGGTGATTCAAATTTTCCGGGTGGAGGAAGGACGACCTGAGTTTTGCAAGTCAGTAAGTGGTTGGGCGTCAGTGGTTCTGCTCCTAATGGGTCTGCAAGGTTTTCCACAGTTAATGGCCTATTGTTGACAATACTTTCGGCTTCGGTCATCAGTGTACGGAGTGATTCGTCATCTAATTGTGTACTGTGGTCACGCAGCAGAGATTGGAGGACAGAACGCGTGGTACGTATCTGACGTTCCCATATACCGCCCATGTGAGACGCATGGGGTACATTCATCTTGAAGTGGATGAGATCACAATCTTGGGAGGAGAGGTACTGTTTGATTGATTCTTCTTGAAGCTCTTGGAAAGCTGAGGAAAGCTCGTATTTAGCGCCAACGAAATTAGTCCCTTGATCTGATCTAATTTCGCGAACCTTTCCTCGTCTTGCGATGAAACGCCTTAGAGCGTTAATGAAAGATTCGGTGTTCATTGCGTTTAGGGTTTCTAGATGGATGGCTCTGGAGGCCATACACGTGAAGATTAGGCCCCATCTTTTTAACTCCTTCCGTCCTTCTTTAATAATAAATGGACCAAAGACATCCATGCCAGTGTATGTAAATGGAGGAGATGGCGTTACTCGTTCACTTGGTAGATCTGCCATCTTCTGATCTTGAAACTTGCCACGAGCCTTGCGACATGAGACACACTTCGAAATAACATGGGAGACAACAGAGCGACCACTGATAATATGATATCCGGCTTGTCTTATCGCATTGTGTGTGATACCATAGGCTTTGTGGTGCTGCTTCCCGTGGTGATAGTGGCATACAAGACGTTTTGTGGTATGGTCGTCTTTAGGAATCACAACAGGATGCTTTACTTCAAATGGAGAGGTAGAATTCTTCATACGTCCTCCGAACCTGACTATGTTATCCGCGTCGAGAAATGGATCTAGTTTGTAAAGGTTGGTGGTGGTTTTTGTCGTCGTTACCCTCTAGTGATCTCAATGTACTGATTATGGGACGAAAGTGGTGTTGCTGTACAGATTTTAGGATCTGTGTCTCTGCTTTCTGTAGCTCTTGAACTTGGGTGCACCTTCCTTCGGACGCCAGTTGTACTGCTTATCTCGTCGCCGTCATTCTATCATCCTTTGTATTCGTACGATAGTGTTGATAAGCCGCTTAAAGGAGGAGAAATGATGGAAACGTTCCGGTTCAAGAGCCTCTGGTAAGCTTTGGCTGATAACTTTGGTGCTAAGGGTAGTTGTTGAGTCGTTTCGAACCTCTACGTCGGTGGAATCTAGTGGGAAGTCAAGCTGACTTTTGGAAGGATTGTCTTTTCCTGCAACGTGACGCCATTGATCAGGCGGGCTACGATCTCGAATGTGCTGAACTCTGTTTCCAACATAAACGTGATATACCCGATTGTGATTTCAGAGTCTGTGTGTTCTCTATGGTATGTTCTCTATGTCCAATTCGTCTTTAAGCATCGATGTTACGTTAGTGGAGATAACCGCGGCAGTTAATTCTAGACGAGGTATGGAGATGGGTCTAAGAGGAGCTACTTTAGACTTTGCCATCAGGAAGCTGACGTGTGGTTGGCTTTTTTCATTCACAAAGCGAATGTAGGATACTTGTCCGATGCCCATGTCACTCGCATCTGAGAATGAGTGGATTTCGGAGTGGACGGGCGTTCCGAAACCTCCTCGAGTAGAGGTAGTTCAGTCCGCCATTTTTCACATTGGGGTACAATACTCTCTGGCACCGGATCGTACCAAGAGATCTTTGAATTGGGATGGTGTCTTTTCGTAGATCCAAATCTTTGAGATCTTTAGCGCGGTCTTCGACTGGTAGGGACTCAAGAACTTCTTTTCTGTTGCTTTCAAATTTGTGCAAACGCAGATTGGCTGCTGAACACATCTTTTGGGTTTGTTTTATGATCTTGGTCGCTTGTTCTATTGTAGGTACAGACTTTAGGCCATCGTCCACGTAGAAGTCTCGGCGGAGAAAGTTTGCTGCGTCTTCTCCGTACTCAGCGGTACGTTTCAGCGGTTTGGTGTAGACAGAAGTTGGCTACGCCTGGCGAAGAGGTTGCGCAAATAGATGTACGTCCATTTGGTATTCCACGATGGGCCCAGCGAGGTCATTATTTAAGAACCACAGGAATCTAAGATAGTTTCTGTGTTCAGGACGAAGAAGCTGTGGAACATTTGCTCAATGTCACAGATGAAGGCAACTTCTTCTTTACGGAATCTTGTAAGTACACCCATTAAGCTGATCTGGTCCTTGTAAGAGATGCTTATTAAGAGATTCGTTCTCGTAGATCGCACTACAGTCGAATACCACCCTGATCTGGTCTGGCTTTTTAGGGTGATATACATTAAAGTGCGGTAGGTACCATACTTTGCCAATCTCTGTGCGTATTCGTTCGGCTAGAGTAGTCTAAGGCAATGGTGTTTGTTATTTGGAAGTGTAAAATCGTCTTCTCTAAAGGGTAGTGGCGCTTCCTAACAGGACCTAACAGGAACCGGAAAATGTTGAACAAGCAACATGAGCAAAGCATGCAGTCAGCCCTTCATAATGCAACTCCAACCAGACAAATTGCACTCGGAGATACTGTCATGGCTCGTGATTACAGAGGAGATTACAAGTGGCGTCAAGGCCCTCTTATGTACAAAGTCCAAGTCTCTCCAAATCTGATTTGGCGCCGACACATTGACCAACTTCTTCCAACAATGGTCCAACAGAGAGTTACACAATACAGTGACATCAGCGAGCATTTCGACACATCGAAAGCATTTCCAGATCCTGGAGTCCCAGCTCCAATGGAAAAACTGCCGACTGAAGCAAACTCACAAGAAATGAAAGCGGAGCAATCCGTTATCATCAACAGGCTGGAGGTATGTATTTCTCAAAATTAGATGCATCATCAGGATTTTGGCAGATTCTATTAGATGAATCAAGTGCAAAGCTCTGTACTTTCAATACACCATATGGTCATTGCTGCTTTTTAAGATTACCATTTGGAATCAGTTCTGCCTCTGAGGTGTTTCATCGAACAATTGAATACCAGATCCCAAAAAGGTAGAAGCTATTAGCAATATGCCTAAACCTACATATATAGTGGAACTGCAAAGGTACCTTGGTATGGTCAATTACCTTATGAAGTTTACTAAAAAAGAAAAATGAATGGCAATTGTAGCGGAATCAGCTAGACATATAGAGGTTCCGTGAAACCATAAAAAACTTGACGCTCACAAACTTCACGGAGTCATCTTTAATAGAGTAAAAACTGGTACTAACTCGTCAAATTACTGTGAGCGTATGGACTCACATTACAAGATCGGATAACATATAAAGGATGACATAAAACACGTGATTACTAAAACAAACAGATGGTTAAAGATTACCAGGCACGTATGCCGTCTTGGTTGGTCTTTGTCGCTCATCAGAACGACGTCCCCTTCCTTCACGTTCCGTTTGGTGCTCGTCCACCTTTGACGTTTCTGTAATAGGGCGCAGTATTCCTTTTGCCATCTTAACCAGAATTGGTTGGCTAGGTATTGAACTCTACGCCACCTTTTCCTGGAGTATAAATCAGGTGATTCAAATTTTCCGGGTGGAGGAAGGACGACCTGAGTTTTGCAAGTCAGTAAGTGGTTGGGCGTCAGTGGTTCTGCTCCTAATGGGTCTGCAAGGTTTTCCACAGTTAATGGCCTATTGTTGACAATACTTTCGGCTTCGGTCATCAGTGTACGGAGTGATTCGTAATCTAATTGTGTACTGTGGTCACGCAGCAGAGATTGGAGGACAGAACGCGTGGTACGTATCTGACGTTCCCATATACCGCCCATGTGAGACGCATGGGGTACATTCATCTTGAAGTGGATGAGATCACAATCTTGGGAGGAGAGGTACTGTTTGATTGATTCTTCTTGAAGCTCTTGGAAAGCTGAGGAAAGCTCGTATTTAGCGCCAACGAAATTAGTCCCTTGATCTGATCTAATTTCGCGAACCTTTCCTCGTCTTGCGATGAAACGCCTTAGAGCGTTAATGAAAGATTCGGTGTTCATTGCGTTTAGGGTTTCTAGATGGATGGCTCTGGAGGCCATACACGTGAAGATTAGGCCCCATCTTTTTAACTCCTTCCGTCCTTCTTTAATAATAAATGGACCAAAGACATCCATGCCAGTGTATGTAAATGGAGGAGATGGCGTTACTCGTTCNTGGTCCAACAGAGAGTTACACAATACAGTGACATCAGCGAGCATTTCGACACATCGAAAGCATTTCCAGATCCTGGAGTCCCAGCTCCAATGGAAAAACTGCCGACTGAAGCAAACTCACAAGAAATGAAAGCGGAGCAATCCGTTATCATCAACAGGCTGGAGGTATGTATTTCTCAAAATTAGATGCATCATCAGGATTTTGGCAGATTCTATTAGATGAATCAAGTGCAAAGCTCTGTACTTTCAATACACCATATGGTCATTGCTGCTTTTTAAGATTACCATTTGGAATCAGTTCTGCCTCTGAGGTGTTTCATCGAACAATTGAATACCAGATCCCAAAAAGGTAGAAGCTATTAGCAATATGCCTAAACCTACATATATAGTGGAACTGCAAAGGTACCTTGGTATGGTCAATTACCTTATGAAGTTTACTAAAAAAGAAAAATGAATGGCAATTGTAGCGGAATCAGCTAGACATATAGAGGTTCCGTGAAACCATAAAAAACTTGACGCTCACAAACTTCACGGAGTCATCTTTAATAGAGTAAAAACTGGTACTAACTCGTCAAATTACTGTGAGCGTATGGACTCACATTACAAGATCGGATAACATATAAAGGATGACATAAAACACGTGATTACTAAAACAAACAGATGGTTAAAGATTACCAGGCACGTATGCCGTCTTGGTTGGTCTTTGTCGCTCATCAGAACGACGTCCCCTTCCTTCACGTTCCGTTTGGTGCTTGTCCACCTTTGACGTTTCTGTAATAGGGCGCAGTATTCCTTTTGCCATCTTAACCAGAATTGGTTGGCTAGGTATTGAACTCTACGCCACCTTTTCCTGGAGTATAAATCAGGTGATTCAAATTTTCCGGGTGGAGGAAGGACGACCTGAGTTTTGCAAGTCAGTAAGTGGTTGGGCGTCAGTGGTTCTGCTCCTAATGGGTCTGCAAGGTTTTCCACAGTTAATGGCCTATTGTTGACAATACTTTCGGCTTCGGTCATCAGTGTACGGAGTGATTCGTAATCTAATTGTGTACTGTGGTCACGCAGCAGAGATTGGAGGACAGAACGCGTGGTACGTATCTGACGTTCCCATATACCGCCCATGTGAGACGCATGGGGTACATTCATCTTGAAGTGGATGAGATCACAATCTTGGGAGGAGAGGTACTGTTTGATTGATTCTTCTTGAAGCTCTTGGAAAGCTGAGGAAAGCTCGTATTTAGCGCCAACGAAATTAGTCCCTTGATCTGATCTAATTTCGCGAACCTTTCCTCGTCTTGCGATGAAACGCCTTAGAGCGTTAATGAAAGATTCGGTGTTCATTGCGTTTAGGGTTTCTAGATGGATGGCTCTGGAGGCCATACACGTGAAGATTAGGCCCCATCTTTTTAACTCCTTCCGTCCTTCTTTAATAATAAATGGACCAAAGACATCCATGCCAGTGTATGTAAATGGAGGAGATGGCGTTACTCGTTCACTTGGTAGATCTGCCATCTTCTGATCTTGAAACTTGCCACGAGCCTTGCGACATGAGACACACTTCGAAATAACATGGGAGACAACAGAGCGACCACTGATAATATGATATCCGGCTTGTCTTATCGCATTGTGTGTGATACCATAGGCTTTGTGGTGCTGCTTCCCGTGGTGATAGTGGCATACAAGACGTTTTGTGGTATGGTCGT